CCAATGGATCACTGTTAAATACCTGTTAAATACCTGTTATATTTATGTAGGATAAAGCTTTTTCGAAGTCTATTACGCACTGGTCACTGTGCCAATTCCCAATTGCCCGTTTGTTTTTATTTATTTTTTTGAACTTTATAAAATTAAAATTTTTTAGTGTTTCCAAATAATATATTTTTCAAAATTAAATACTTTTGTTTCACACACTCGTTTAAAATTAAAACATCTTTAAGTTATTTAACCGTCCGGTCAATGACCAGGTACCCGGGTATCCATTTCAGTGTCTGACTCAGTGTCTGGTTCGACTGCAGTTATTTCACATGCCACGTAGCTAGCTTACTAATAACTTTTCTACCTGACACATTATAGGCGGGTACCCGGGTACCCGGTTATTGAACGAATGGTGAAAGTTTGGTCATTGACCGGACGGTTAAAAATGTATTACCAAAATAATGTTGTGGAGAAAACGATAAACAGGGATACAATGCGACAGACAGGAAAGCTCGTGAAGATGATACCTCTCTTAAGTTGATTCAATACTTCAAGATTTGGAATACATCTTGCTTTAACATAAACTCAGAATTAACAAACCAAAGTTAAAGACCACACGACAGAAAATAGAACTAACGGCGATTAAGAGTCTCTCTTGATTTTTTCAATGTTAAATGCAATCGAGACAATTGAGTCGTGTATTACGGAAAAAGCGTTAAACCGAGCATTATTGCGAAAAATCTACATACACGTCTGTCACTCAAAGTAGCTTTGGAGACAAAAAATAAAAAATTTTAATATGTTAAAATTAAATACCTTATTTTATGAGCGTATAAAATGATATTGAAAATTATTTTGTTTGGCTATGAAAATAATTATATAGGAGGACGTTCAAACTGATAGTTAGAATGTCAAAACTTTTTGCAACAATGCATCATGCGTGAATCCTTTATAGGGTAAGTGAGAGGAATATACCACACTTAAGCAAAATTAGATTTTTGAGTAATTATTTGTTCAATTTAAAGTAATTTTAGCATATCTTTCGACGAACAGACCTCGTGAATCCATCTACTGCAACAATTAGATATTATCCAATTACATTTTGAACTATTTTTAGAAGTAAAAATATGTAATGTGTAAGTATAAAACATATAAATAAATATTTGTTTTACTTTATTTACATTTACACAGTGTTACAAGTAGTCTAAGCTCCCAGTCTAAGCTCCCAAAAAAATTCAATTCATTAAAATGAATTGAAAAATTGTATTCTCTATTCAGAATTTAGAATTGAACAATAAATTAATTAAATATAATACAATAATATGTAAATAAATAAACATTTAAGTTTATTTATTAATTATTTGTCAATACGGATATCACAACGGGATTATACGACAAAACGTTTATTTATAACGCCCTAACCTATAAGGGTGAACCAGTTGTTGAACTCTATGAGAAAATTATTGACTGCATGCACGTTATAATTCAATAGGCATGAAGTCGATAATTTTCTCATAGGGTAAACAGTTGTTTCAACGACTCTGATTCACCCTGTATATTATAGAAAATGATTACTGACTACATTTTACCTTAACAAAAGTAATGATATATTGCCCCAAAACGCCATTTCATCTTATGATGAGTCTGTACAATACGGCTGTTAAGAAAATCAACGATATACTGAATATTTTAACCTATACTAATAGATTAACAAGCTAATCGAGCTAAATATTGTATAATGTTTAGATAATAACTTACATAAAGTACTATAAAAGTTATAAGGAACACGTTTTCATATACTATGTCGTCATATTTACCTTATAAAAACAATAAATTTGTCAGAAAATTTGTAATATTTATGCAACACGTTAAGTACACAATTGTAAATAACTTTGTGGCACTGACGCAAGCGCTGCTAATCACTATCATTGTTAAATACAACGAGTGGCATATTCCCCCAACTGGCGTATTATTCGCAGTGTATTACCCTATGATTATTTTGATCCAAGAAAATTATTTATTCAGAGATCTGTATGTATCTAAATTTGTAGATACTAGCATTCTTTTCGTGTATACTTCCATCACATGAATTAAATGAATAAAAATGAATGGACTAAAAAAATTATTTTTATTAATTATTTTATTATTTTATTTTTATTAATTAATTATATCATAACTTCGATGTTACATTTTATTACAATCTTTCTTTTAAAAACATTCGGCGCGAAGCTCTTATTAAATATAGGTTTCAATCTCGTTAGTGCAAATCTTAGCAAGGAAACTCATCGCGGCGACATAATCGGTTGCTTCTTCGTGCAATGAAGAAAAGCTTGGACGCAATTTAATATTACTAAGAAACTGCATAAATAACGCACTTAAATATTCCCGCATACTTCGAAACGCACGCCATGATAATGAACTTTTGCAATATCCGCACAACATGCTGCATTAATAACTTCAGTATTGTACTAAAATAAGGCACTTATGTTCGTCCCCGCATAAAAAATGCGGGAAGAACTCTTGTAGTTCGATGGCAACTTCGAACCATCTCAGTAAGTGATTACCGATACAGCACCTGAGGGTTCTCGCTTAAGATTCTCCAAGGGATCCCGCAGGTATCTATACCTCTCTAGTGGACAGATTAGAAGTTAGTTTTAACGTGTCGTATATGCGCTGCTTACGTTTATGCATTTGCGCTGTTACTAAATGTACCAAGTCATATCAATGCGCTGGTTACTGCAAACTTTTGAAACGCTCGATGCGGAAAACGCCGCCGGCGTCAACATTTGGATGGAATCTCAGTTTCTCGGGAATCTCGCCGTTTGTTGCGAGCGAGATCGGAAACAAACAGCAGCGCTATTGCAATATCTAACGTAATGTGTCCGCTTAAATATTTGATTTATCTGAAATCGATATACGGCAACGATGGATTTGATTCCGTCCCCTGCGAACGAACATTTTGCGAAAGTCTTATATCTGTTAAAGCCATTCGATTTAGAGGTAGTTTTTTCTTCTTAGTATTATTTTATCTGTCGTTATTCGTTATTAAATATTTGACTTATCTATATATATCTTTAGTCAAGCGGTTAAAATATGGTTCCTGAATTATTTCATGAATGATGATGAGTTTATTCTAAAGATAATATAACAAGCGGTTAATACCAGTTGAAAATTTTATAAATGTTTAAGGTGATTAACGATACACTGTCATTTCAAATTTATTACGAATTGTAGTACAATCTGAAAACTAGTACGTGAAATTCCATGTTTGCTTTTCATAGTGACATCCTCAAATATTTATTGCTCTCAATAATTAATGTACAATCTAATGCGATTCTAATTTTGCACAATAATTAATAATGATTAATTATTCATGATTATTCTAATAACCGTTAGTATTGCTTTAATTATCATTACACACATATATGCAGAAATTTATTTTAAATGCTTCTGGCAATGAAATAAATACATATTGCGTAACTAGATTAAATTAGCTTGTTATTAAATTAATCCATACTTTTATTCTTTACATTTTTTTCTTATCCGACTGTTGTCAAAGTATTTACACGAAAAAAAAACGATTTTACTAAAGTTTTTAAAAATTCACATACAAATCTGAAAATAATTTTATTGGATCCATCCAAATAATTATGTAGAAAATTCAAGTATGATGGCAGCAATATTGTAGTATTGACATTCTAACAATCAATTTGAGTATCTTATAGGAGAGACTGCGACTAATTGTTGTACGGGATTGATTGTCAAAATACTTGTAACTCAAACAGGACATGGCAGAAAAATCTCTTTTTTTTTACTTAGATTGCTAATATAACATTGATTTGTTGTGTAAAATAATTTGCACCACAAGCATTGTATATATTATTTATAGCGATTTTTAAGAAAAAAGTTGATGAGTGAATTTTTCTTATCACCTATTTTGTTGTCTGGCAAGTTTTTGGCATTATTAACCGCAATATCTTTGTATATATAGAAAATATATCTTAAGAGATCTTTGTTACAATTAATTAATCATAATCCTGACAAAGTTTGTGAATACAATCTCTTTTATTAGAAATGGCTGTAAAGGGTAGAGATTGACCAAAATAAGACGAGATTAAGTGACAATTAACTTCAATATCTCCCTCTTTAGAAAACATATTTTTAGAGAATATATTTACAAACATTATATTTCATATAAATATATATGTTTTTTTTTTACATAAAAACGAAAGTACAAAAATAAATTACGTCTCTTATGATTAAAATAACTATTTTATCTATATTAATAATTACTATTATTTCTCAAAATATAGAACTGGAATTCAAATAAAAATTACATTTTTTATATGTATTGTCCGTAAAAAATATGCTACTGTCAATCCTATAACATGCGACAATCAACCCAGAACACAGGGTTAATTGTCATATTTTCGCAGCTTCATTTAAAATTAAATAACTTATTTTTACGATGAATTTCAGAAGTAATATTTTTGTTAATACCTAAAGAATATAGATATATTATAACGTTTATAACATTTTAAAATCAGGCATCCACCTTTTTCTAAAAATTATTAATTAAAAAACTGTGACAACCGGTTACTCCTATAATTATTTCGATAGTCCAACAAAATTTATTTCCAGAGCTGTATCCAATTTTTAAATATATTTCAACAAAATCGTTTTTTCTTGTAATGTTACAAAAACGTCGATTACTAACTTTTTTACTTCACAAAAAAAATCTGTGAAAAATAAAGATAGGAAGTTATGGTGCCGTTATTTTATTAGGTTATTGTGCCGTATATATTTCTCTTACAAAACAAATTCCTCGAAAAAATGAAAAAGGAAAGAGAAAGTCAGAAACAGTGTAAGAAGGAGGTGGAGAGGGAGGGGGGGGGGGGAGAAAGAAAGACGCAGACGGTGATGTAAATTTTCCATTCGCTGCGTCCCTGACCGCCTAGTCTCCGACTGCAAAATAATTTATATATGTATGTGGCTTTCTTGGGTTTCAGGGGAGCATCCGGCGGCCATGCAACACGGGAACTCTAGCAACAGCGGCGCGGCCACGCGGACGCTCGCGTTGCTCCTGTTGCTCCTGCACGCCGGCTCCTTCGCGAGGTGACTGGTCGATCACGAGACACTGCAGTAAGAGAGTAACGGCCGATAGTTTCACCCAAACAAGATCGGGGCGACGACGAGGGTGGTGCGGAAAAGGAGAGACCAGAAAGGGAAGGACGGGCGGGAGCACCATCCGCGCTAACCATCACCTACCAGACTCTATAAATCAGCTCGATCTTCTTTCCGCATTGCGATTGGCTCGCCAGGGTAGAAAAGTGCGCGGAGAGAAAGCAGAGAAGACAATGTGCGGCAACCGTTAGCAGCTGCAACCGCGTGTAAGAGAGCTTCACTGGCTTTGCTCTCACTTCCGGAGCACGAACTCGGGGCCGGCCCTGTCCGGCTCACGTTTCCTTAAAGCTACTTTCGTGCCCCACATGTTCTATGTCTCACCGTACTATGCTGCAATATCGAAAATAGCGACGTGTAGATCCGAGACGATATGCGAATAGGGAAATGTGTAAACTAGGTAACGACAGAGTGAATTTTCTTCTTGAGAATAAGCGACGTTCCAAAGGACGAATGATTTCTCTCATGTCGACATTCGCGACGACAGAATTAGCATTTCTTTTCCCCGGGCGCGGTAGATCGCGTAGATAACGTGGATCGTGAAGATCTATTGGCGAACACAGCTGACTGTCATGGATTTCAAGAGGTAAGAACCAGCGTGTTTTCGTGCCCGGACGGACTAACCAGGCGACCCACATACGCCGGCAAAACCACTGCGTGGAATTCCACTCAATTTCTGGTCACCGGATGCGGTATGGCTTCTTCCGTCGAAGAGAACAAATATTTTGAGGTTTACCGTACTTATCCTCGGTCGCGCAAACTTCCGAGATATGTATGTACCTATATACGCCGCATCATACGAATGTCTCGCAAGCCGCCGGATATGCATTTCGACCTTCTTGAAAACTTTGCGTCACCGGCTTTCGAATGCAATTTCTTTTCAATCGCGAATGCGCATATCATATACGTTCCAATCTCATATTTTATATTAGAACATTGCTTTTATTTTATTAGAATATTGAGACACACTGAGTTTAAAATGCATATTTTAAATTTTATTTGTTTCAATGTACGGAGTAATTATTTTATATCTTTGAAAAACGTAAGATATCTGGTTAATTTTTATCTTTACGTTACCAAAGTTATTGTTGTTACTGTTATTATTATTGTTATTGTTATTGTTACTGAAGGATACGACAGCGAAGAAAATAAATCGTGCAGGTGAGAGAAACGTTGTAATAAAAATTTGTTATTGTAAAAATTGCACATTTCTCTCGGGCTACTTGTAAGACCGGCAATTTTTCTTGCCCCAAGGGATTTTAGCACTTCTTCGGAGTTGATTCTTGCGCGCGAAAGTTTCGTCGAATAAATATTTCCCTCAAAAACGTGCCCGCCGTCTACTACGGGACTAGCTAACGGAATCGGCTACGACAATAATCGATTTTCGCCTTTCGCGAGAGACGAAAAAGCCACTGAAGTATCTCTGAATTATGCGGGCCCGGGCCACGCGGAATTCGTAGCTTTGGCAATGGAGGACGCCCGCAGTTTCGTCCGGGCGTTCCATTTGCATCTCAGGACACCGAATTTACGAGCCCGAGGGTCGTCGATCCTCAACTACGGCCACGAGACCGTCGCGTATCCGTGTGCGTGTATGATAGACTCGATAAGTTATATAACTAAACTCGACGTACCGTCGTTCACAAGAGGGAAATATCGGCGTAGTCGATACGGAGTTTAGCTGATATGTTTTCTCACCATTATGCTAAGGCGGCTCGTTATATCCGCGCGTTTAATTGGAAATATTAATTTCTCAAGCATAACAAGAAGTGACATTAAAATGACCCTTAATGGGCCATTTTAACACCAGTCACTTTTCACTTTCAATCAGTCACGATTTATTTTTACGTCATTTTGACACGTTATTATATAACATGCTGTTCTGTTTGAATTCATGCGATTATTTTCTCTCATCAGCTAAACCAAAACTACTTAGTTTTACATTCGATATTTACTTTCATACAGATTCATTCCTTTACACGTATAATATTATATTTATTTTTCTTTCATTAAGGATATTGTCACGGTTTGATCCTTTAATCTGTAGCATTCCGTATGTATCAAATGTATATCAAATTAATTGCATTCCCGTCCGAGATGATCGAGATTATATCACGTCTACGGTCGGCTTGTGCGGTCGCAGTTAACGCAACCAGCTGACGCGCCCGGAATGTTCTTCGAATAAAGTTCCGCCCAGCGTTCAGTTGCGGCATCCGAGCAGCGCCGACCCGGGAAATATATCAGTCGCGGAAAGTGACGGAAAGTTTACTGCGGGGAAACGGAAACTCGCGGCGACACAGTTACAGTACGGATACGATTAATTCGATGCGCGTGCTAAGTCCTCGGATTTCACCTGATTTCAATGCCCCGATAGGAGGAAGCTCCGGATTTTGAATCATGATTTCAATCAGGTGTCAGAAATCCGCATGCGTCCGAAACCTCTAAATATTTCAACTCGCCATTATCTCCGATCTGTCTAGTGACTCAATTCCCCGAATTATTCGTATGTCCGAGTGTGCATTCGACGTACGATTTAACTGTGTCAAAACATTTGTGTCTGAAAGATTTTGCGTGAAGCTGACACGTCGAGGTCGTCGAGTGATACTGCTAAGAGGGCAGATTGATGTGAATGCGGGAAAAAAAAACGCTACGGAAGCGAGACTATGGTGCTCCGGATTCCCGACGATGGGAAAGCACGGTGCGGACGACGCGCGAGGAACGAGCGCGCTCGCTAAAATTAAGCTTTAAGTGATTAAAGAATCGTATCATACTGGTCTATCCGTGTATACGTCTCCATAGATCTCCGATCGCGAGTGGGTCGGTCGTGCCGGAACAAGGGAGGTGCGTATGCAAACGTGACTGTAGTGTGCGACGTCAATCGACGTTGTTACGTGCTAATAGTGCATTATTTTTGTGTTATATTTTTAAGGGATGTATCATAAAATGGGAGAACTTTGATCTGAATTTGGGATAGTTTTGGCGCAAGTTTTAATAATGTTCTACACATAACACATATGTTAAAACTCAGACATAAAACGTCTTAAAAATATATCAATTAAAAAATCATTTGGAATATTTTTATATCACAGTGGCAAAAAAATATGAAGTTGTAAAATATAATTGTTTTGTATTAATATTGTTTAACATATTCTTTTTTTTTTTAATAATTAGTCTTTACGAACTTTTAAATATGCAATTCTACGAAAACCTACAATAAAAAAAAACCTTACGTTAATTAAAATTTACTTTTAAGAAATACTTTATAGTAAGTCACTTAATATACTTATTCCTTTTAATATTTATTTGGTGTCTACATACTTTTTAAAAAATTAGGATTAAATCTATATTCATAATGTTCTCATTCAAATATCAATAAATCGGGAAACAATCTATAATATATAATATGTTGTTAATAATAGTTATTGGGGTATAAAAAACACCCCAAGTGATCTTTTAAAAAATTAGATGACTATATCCGGGTTAAAGTTTTTTAAGATGTCTTTTTGATTTTGGATATGATATCTAGGTATTTTTTAAATTTGGATTAAAATTATCCCGACTAGGCTAAAGTTGCCATATTTTACATATCGTCGCTATACTATATTCAAAACAGCGTGGAAGATAGAATATATCGATAATTGGAAAGATGATAAAAGTATTCTAACGGTGGATTATTTATTTGAATTTCTTCGATATTGTTCCATAAATAGTTAGAAAATAATATATGGTGCATGTTTTACGTAATACATTTTATATTGGAATTTGATAAAATCAGGTCACAATGTAAAAATGAAATTCAAGTACCTACCAATAATAAGATCTTCTCTTTTTGCTATAAATAAAAGTCTCCTTTTACAATGACACGTCTCTACATTGGTACATTTGTAACATGTATAAAGATTTTGGGGCTCTCTGAAAAAGAAAAACGTACGAGAAATGTAATGATATAATGATGTTAATTTATCGAAATTATAACGCGTTGAAATGTATAATGTCGTGATGCATATTAACATCAAATATGAAGGTATCTATTACGTCTATGACACCAAATTTTATTAACATACATGCGCATGACAATTGGACAATGTGCTAGTTTAAACATAATTACATTATACGTAATTACCCTTATTTCTATTACTCATATTTATTTTCGAATTTGTATTATTTTTTTATTGTACCACGAATTTTAAGCAGCGATATGAAAATAGAATGGTAAAGATAGAAAATAAAATGATAAAGTATACAAGGGAATTTTTCCGACGATCTCTATTTGCTCTATTTTTCTGTCGAGCAAAAATGTTTTCGTGCCGAATACTACCTTAAGAATTCGATACATTTCAAATACGCATTGTCACCAGCACGATCGACCCACATAATAGTCGTACTGTATATATCGTCTTGAATGTAACGATAATCGATCGCTGTAACTCTCTTCGGAATGATTAAGAGAACCACGATGTAATTCTTACTAATTCACACTCTCAGATCGAGTGCTTCGTTATCTAAAACGCAATCGAGACTTTTGTCATCAATCAATATTATAGTATCGATGATTGCGGCCTGCCAAAAAAACATTCTGGATGCGCTTCCTCGAGTGAACTTTACCACTAAAAAAAAAGTGAATCAGTGAGAATCTCAAATAAAAGGAGGAAACTTTATATCGTAATATAAAATATTCGATTGTCTTGATTATCGTGCTCAGTGAAATCAATTGATACGATCAAAATAGAGAGATCATTTAAATCATCGAGCGAATCAGCCATCGAAAAAAATTAGGAAGCGACTCTCGAAAAAAAAAATTAGCGAAGATGCAGTGCAGTCTTGTAAATAAAAAGGATTCGATTTTCGATTGCATTAACGTTACGGTTCGCCCGTGTGAACCAGGGGTGCACAAAACACGAAGAACTCTTCACTCTTTCGCCCGTGACTTAATTTTCCTCCGATACGCAAAACACGCGAAGCATCGCGCAAAGTGCGAACATATTAAATATTAATCCCTCCGCCCCCAAGGAGTAACTTTACTTTCAAACAAAATTATAGGGAGAAAAGTGCGCCGAGAGGTAATATCAGAAATTTTGCTGAGGTAGTGTGGAGGGGTCAGACGATCCGACGCGAAACGCGAGAAAATTTTGCGCATCCCTGAGTCTAATATTTGGTAGCAACCGAGAGAGAGGTATCTCGGTTACGAGAAGGAGAAAGCGCGCGACGTGGTTGTATGTTCCTGGAGAAGAGTTCCCGACAAGACGCGTTCCTGACGATCGATCGTTTCACCGATCGTTGTCGGGCACGAGTTCTGCAAATTCACCACCGCATCTTCCCTTTTCTCCCTTCCTCCTTCCCATCACATCTCTCCTAATCCCCGTGCTTTTTTATACGCCGAACGAGATCTGTCCTCGTTAGTACTTGTAAATGGCTTTCGCGCACGCGGGTGCCGCTAATTCTGCTTCTGTATATTTCGGAAATGATATAAGAACATGACTCGAATGCAGGCGTGGATTAATTGGCTCGCGTTCGAGCAGACGAGCGAGGACGACTGGTAGCAAATAAGTTTAACCCGATTGTATGAGATCAATTACTTGTTAGCACACGAGCGATCAGCGATACGCTCTTAGCGACACTACTCGAAGGATGTTAAACTATCGAACGTACCATTAATGTATATATAAACGAGCAGTACCGATTTATTGTTTATGTTGAATCCAATTGTACCAGAATTCCTAAAGACAATTAAAGAAGAAAAAATAATGATTATTTGTGAGAGATATTGCACATAAGTATACGGAAGAATTCTCATTCCGCAAGCCTCTGCTACGCATCCATTTTTCCCTATTTAAAATCCGCACGAGAAATTGGATCGTTTATTTGCATAATGTTTCGTCCCGACAACCGTCACATTTTTAATTAAGTCGGGTATTCGATTGAATTCATTTT